GTTAAAGTACAGAATGGTTCATTGGTTCCTAGGTGCGTTGTGTCTCTGAGAATGTATAAGGTGTGGGTTTTTAAGGCCCTCTTGGCCCCCTTCCTGGCACCTCGGACCCAGGCGAACACTTTTGTCCTTCAAAACCACGAATGGTTCAGGGAAACAGCTAAGAGGTCATGTCCCTGTAGCTGTTCCACTTGAGGTGTTGAGAGATAAATGACAATTCGTGAAAACAGCAAAGTAAATACTTTATAAATTATAGATAAACATAGATACATAATAAAAACAGTAAGAGACCTGTATCTCTTTCTGGTCTCATTTCTTCTCCCAGCGAAGCATCTGTGCACACAGTGTGGAAATCAAGGTCGTAGGTAGTAAGCCTCTTGCATCCTTAGAACATGGCCCACTGGAAATAAAGGAGACTGATTCCAAAGTTGGAGACAGTAAAGTGTCAGAGAGAAAGGGTACGAAGAACAATCAGAGAGATTTGGGTCCACGTGGAAGTTAATATGAGTAACAAACAGAGCCTATGAAAACAACATAATTATTATTTCAACTGTGAGTCTCCCTCTGGACTACTTTGGTTGTCATACTCTCCGAACCTGCTTATCCACCAGCTCTCACACTGTGGCAGGCATTCTGCTAAGTGGATCAGAGGTACAAAAGGGGGAGAAAACCCCGTCTTTGGAGGAAACCGGGAGGGGCAGGAGTCAGTTTGGAGGGCTTTCCACCACGATGCCGTGGGACACGTCTGATGGACTGTCCTGCTGCTCCTAATGGCACATGATTTTGGAAGGGCAGGGGGAAGCCCTGAACCAGGAAATACGTTTGCCCGAGTGAGAGCCAGGAGGACTGGAGCAGGAGTGGTTGATGGCAGTACTCTGTGCTGCCACGGAACCTTCTCACTCCCCCCAGGTGATCCGTGCATCCAATGTATCTGCCACAACCAGAGACGAATACGTCACAAGCATGTCTGTTACCTAAAACACTGAGTAAAGTTGTCCCATAAAATAGAGTACATCTCCTTGAAGTGAAAAGAGGAATAGCATAATGTCAAGCCTGCTTCAGAGAAAAATGACACACTTCCTGGATTGTGTGAGGGCTTCAGGATAGGAGGATGTAAGGGAACACCACCAGGGCAGCAGATAATTCCCTACCCCTACGAACAGTGACGGGACAGCCAGGTAAGTGGAGAATGCGAAAACAGTGGATGTGGTTTAACCCTTCGAGTTGCAGCCACAAATCCTGGTACAGTAAAACCTTGGTTTGCGAGCACAATTCGTTCCAGAAACATGCTTGTAATCCAAAACACTTGTATGTCAAAGCGAATTTCCCCATAAGAAATCACGGAAACGCAGGAGATTCGTTCCACAACCCAAAAACATTCATATAGAAATGATTACAATACTGTAATATGATACAAAAAGTAAAGAAAATACAAAATATAAAGACAAAGAAACAAATTAACCTGCACTGACCTTTGAAAGCCTCCGTGGCTGGTGAGGGAGGCCTGGGAGAGGAGGGTTATTGTGCAGGACGACTTTCACTATCACTGTCGATGTCACTACTATCTATTGGCTCAATGGAATCTTCTTCTGCATGGGGGCCATTGTAAATGCTCGCATGGATGTTGACTACAGTCCAGTGTTAACAAACTCTTGCCGTGCACCGTATTTAATGGAACTGGCAATAAGGCAGCAGAGGAAAGGGTCTCTCTCTGTCTGCAGGCAGCCTGAGCTAGGAGGAAGCAAAGCATTCCTAAGCTTACTCTTGGATGGAAAAGCAAAGGCCTGTCTTTGGTGCTTTGAAGTGACAAAAAATATACTAGTGCCAGTTGTGGGCACCTTCCAGTGTTCCGGAAAATCACTGATTTCTGCCAAACACCGTGGCCTGAGACCAAGCATCTGAGCAATCACCCACAATCTTGCAGCGAGAGAGAGAAGAACCATTGGCTCAGCTGTGATCATGTGACGTTCAGCATCACGGACTACTCGTATTGCAAGACACGGCTCTGTATCAAGTTAAAATGTATTAGAAATGTTTGCTCATTTTGTGGAACACTCACAGAACAAGTTACGGTCTAAGGTTTTACTGTATTTGGAACACGCCTCAAATAAGAAGCAGGTGAGAAGTGCTGACAGGCATTCTGGTCCTGGCTTCATCACCAACTTGCTTTGGGAACTTGGACTTTAACATGCTCAAAGCCTCAGTTTGCCTATCTGCAAATTGGGGCCAACAACATCTGTTCAACTTACCTGACAGCAATGTTACGAGAATAAAAACAGAAGATGTGCGGTTGCTTTGTCAATGTCCAAAGTTCTGTACAAATGGAAGCTATTCCAGATATTCCCTCTCCAAGCTCAAGTCTGAAAAAACAAACACTAAATCCTTTAGAGATGCCTGTTTAATATAGTAGCCACTTGTCACATTGGCTATTGAGCACTTAAAATGTGACCTAGTGCAACTGAGGAACCGACTTCTAAATTTTACTCACTGTTAATGAATTTAAGTTGGGACACTGGTACTGGATTCAGTTATTGGAAAGCCATTAAGTATATTTGCAACATCCTGAGTATGTGAGCCTACTTTTTAAACTGTAAATTTTGTGAAATCTAAATACATACCAGTCTGTGATGAAATTTGGTCTTTGAATTGAGATGTGCTACAAGTGAAAATACACACCAGATTTCAGACTTAATGCAAAAAAGAATGTAAACTATCTTGTTAATAATATTTTAGGGATGCCCGAGTGGCTTAGTCGGTTAAACGTCTGACTTTACCTCAGGCCATGATCTCAACGGTCCGTGAGTTCGAGCCCTGCGTGGGGCTCTGTGCTGACAGCTCAGAGCCTGGCGCCTGCTTCAGATTCTGTGTCTCCCTCTCTCTCTGCCCCTCCCCTGCTTATGTTCTGTCTCTCCCTCTCTCTCTCTCTCTCTCTCTCTCTCAAAAATAAATAAATAAATAAATAAATAAACAAATAAATAAATAAATATTTTACATTAATTACATATTGAAATAATATTTTGTATATATTGTTAAATAAAATATTAAAATTTTATCTCTTTGTACTTATCTTTCTTAAAAAATGTTTTAATTTTCTTTCTTTAATTTGAGATAAAGGCAGAGAGAAGGAACAGGGAAAGGACAGAGAGAGAGAGAGAGAGAGAGGGAGAGAGAGAATCCCAAGCAGTCTCGCCACCATCAGCACAGAGTCTAGCACGAGGCTCGAACCCACAAACCACGAGTTCAAGACCTGAGCCGAAACCAAGAGTGGGACGCTTAACCAAGTAAGGTTAAGGTGCCACCCAGGCACCCCTGTGCTTACACTTTTTTAAATTTAAATTTTAGTTAACATTCAGCTCAATATTGTTTTCAGGGGTAGAATTCAGTTACAACACATAGAATTCACTTACATACAGTACCCAGTGCTCATCACAAGTGCCCTCCTTAATACCCATCACCCATCTAGCCCATGCCCCACCCACCTCCCTCCATCAACCCTCAGTTTGTTCTCTATCATCAAGAGTCTCTTGTGGTTTCCTCTCTTCTCTTCCTCCCCTCCCTCACCTCCCATATATTCATCTGTTTTGTTTCTTAAATCCCACATACAAGTGAATCATAAGTTATTTGTCTTTCTCTGACTGACTTATTTCACTTAGCATAATACATTGTAGCTCCATCCACATTGTTGCAAATGGTAATATTTCATTCTTTTTGATGGCCGAGTAATATTTCATTGTGTATATACACCACATCTTCTTTATCCATTCATCAGTCCGTAGACATTTGGGCTCTCCTCATAGTTTGGCTATTGTTGCTAATTCTGCTATAAACATTGGGGTGCTGTACCCCTTTGAATCTGCATTTTTGTGTCCTTTGGGTAAATACCTAGTAGTGCAATTGCTGGGTCATAGAGTAGTTCTATTGTTAGCTTTTCAATGAACCTCCCTACTGTTTTCCAGAGTAGCTGCACCAGTTTGCATTCCCGCCAACAGTGCAAAAGGGTTCCCCTTTGTCTGCATCCTTGCCAACACCCGTTGTTTCTTATGTTATTAATTTTAGCCATTCTGACAGGTGTGAGGTGATATCTCATCATGGTTTTGATTTGTATTTCCCTGGTATCTTTTTTTTTAATGCTTAGCCCAGCACCTGGCACATGGTTTTTCTCTCTTTTTAAGTTCATATATTTATTTGTTGAAGTAACCTTACGCTCAATGTGGGGGCTCAATTCACTACCCAAATGCCCTTCCTACTGAGTCAGCCAGGCACTCTCTCTTTGTACTTACCTTTTTAAAAAATATTTTTAATGTTTTTGTTTTATTTTTGAAAGAGAGTGAGAGTGGGCAAGGGGCAGACAGAGAGGGAGACACAGAATCCCAAACAGGCTCCACTGAGCTGTAAGCACAGAGTGGGACACGGGGCTTGAACTCATGAACCGCGATATCATGACCTGAGCCAGCGTCGGATGCTTAACCAACTGAGCCACCCAGGAGCCCCTGTACTTACCTTAAAGTGACTTTTAGAAAATTTAAAATTACATGAGGGCTTGCATGATGTTTCTATTGGGAAATACCACTTTAGAAAGAACCAGTGAGCAGGGGATCTTCACTTCCTTGTAGGAGCTAAGGACAGAGGTTGCGGAACTAAATTCCATGATCCCAGGCAACGTGCTGGCACCATTTCCTGGGTTTCTGAGAATCAATAGCAGAAACTGAACAGCCCAGAGCTGGGTGGGGTTGAGTCCCTGCCTGATTCCTTTCCATGTTCAGGCTCAAAACACGCCATCTTAAAACTTCTGTTGCTATTATTGCCTTGGTAGAATGAGACCATAGCTGTTAGCTGGGCTTTAATTTGGGGACCACAGCATTTTAATGACTGGGACATTTCAGGAGAAACCAGTGGCTGTGAAGATAGTCTTAAACTCAGTGTGAACTTAATTCTTCCACTTCTGCTCTTGCAAAGTTTACCTTAGGCCCATCGTGTGGTGGAAATTCACCCTCCAAGAGTCTGCCCTTCTCCAGTTTTGAATCGTTTCCTCCAGCACTGCCTTGTTTTCGAAACGATTTGCACGCAGATTGCCGGAGGAGGATGCGAGAGGAAGCCCGGGCCAGGCGAGGAGCCGGCCTGCCAAGCACATCTGGAAGTGGTTTCAGGGGCCGCCTCACCCGGCAGCCAGCGCAACACCCCGATTCCCAGCTGCTTCGCGCGGGGGTGGAAGAAACCCGAGCCGCTCCAAAGTCAACGCAAGCAAAGGGGGGGTGTTGGGGGCAGGGGCAGGCATCCTCTCTTGGAAACGTAATATTGGCCTCGGGGCTCTCAGCGCTTTGGGCTTTCCAATGGGATGTTAGCAGCAGCTGAAGCAGCCCGGGGGCCAGCCGCGAGCGGAACGCTCTGCCCTGCAGCTCTTCTGGACCGAGGCGCCCGCAGCCTGCCCTCACCGTTCACCAGGTAAACAGAAACTGGCAAGCCGCGCGGCGGCCTCTCCGTTGCAGCCTGGCCGGCCTGCAGCGGCCCTTTATTTCGCTATAGACTCGAGGACGTAAATCAGAGGTGGCCTGTCCCACGAGAACTTTGCTTACAGGAGCTCCCAGCCAATGTTTGTAGCATGCAGAGGAAACTTTTTCTTTTCTTTCTTTTTTTCTTTTTTCTCTTTCTTTCTTTCTTTCTTTCTTTCTTTCTTTCTTTTTTTTTTTTTGCCATTGCAGCAAACCCAGGATACTCAGTGTGCAAGTTGTTCACGTACTGGCTGGACTGTTTTTATCCAGACCTGGGTTGAACCCCCTTGTCCAGTGTGATTTACTATTTTCATCGTATTTTAAGCATGGCAATCAGTGGTTAGGTAGGATGGGATAAATGCTAGTATTTAAATGCAGGTACATTTCTGAGCCACAAAAGATTTCAAAATATTATTTTCTTAATGTTTATTATTTATTTTTTGAGATAGAGACAGAGTGAGAGTGGGGGAGGGGCAGAGAGAGAGAGGGAGACACAGAATCCGAAGCAGGCTCCAGGCTCTGAGCTATCAGCACAGAGCCTGACGCGGGGCTCGAACTCACAAACTGTGAAATCATGACTTGAGCCCAAGTCGGATGTTTCGCCTAATGAGCCACCCAGGCGCCCCTGAGCCACAAAAGATTTAAATGAGCTGTGATTCACATTTTCAGAAGCTGTCATAGGAAGCTATTCATAGGTTCCCCATTCTAAAAAAGGAATTGGTAGTTGTGGAAGTCTAAGTGAGGCTTATTTATAAACGCAGTAATCATAGTGTTTGGGTTCAAAATACTTTTTTAACATTCAAAAACTGTCTTGTGCTCACTTTATGAATGAATGTACACATTGGATAAGCCTGATATAGGCTGATATGCAACTTATGGTATCAGTTAAGGAGGAATAGTTAAGGGGATGCCTGGGTGGCTCAGTCGGCAAAACATCTGATTTTGGCTCAGGTCACGATCTCATGGTTCCTGAGATCAAATCCCGCATCGGGTTCTGCACTGACAATGTGGAGCCTGCTTGGGATTCTCTCTTTGCCTTTCCCCCAAGCACGCACACACACACACACACTCTCTCTCTCTCTCTCTCTCTCTCTCTCTCTCTCTCTCTCTCTCAAAATAGACAAACATGAAAAAAAATTTAATTATAAGAAAAAAGGAATAGTTAACACAAGAGTAAGAAGAGAGAGAGAGGAAGAAAACACGGTGCTAGTCTTCTAGTTGTTTGGCCCCGTGTCGTTAAATATCCAAAGTGACATTGGCTGGTTTGTTTTGTCTTTTCCTCCACGTGTCTTCACATTGCATTTCTGTGCAGCACCCATTTTGGGTTTCACATTTCTGTGCAGGACGCATTTTGGGTTGCACAGTGGACTCCGGCCCTGCGTCGAATGCAGGTACATGTGGGGCAGGGCAGCAGGGAGACCATGGGCCCTGGCTCCAGGTCACAGAGTCAAATCTGCGCGTTGCCACTTAACAAGCTTTATAAGCTTTGACTCGGAGTAGTTACTTGTCTGTGCCTCTATTTCCTCATCTGGAAAATGGGAATTAAGTGACATTGTGTGTCTAAAGGACGTAACACAGCATCTGCAGAGTAGTGAGGCCTCGGGGAAGGTTAGCTTCTCGGGTGGTGCTGATGATGACCGTGGTGATGACGAAGTGACCACGCGTCCTGTGTTGGGTGGCAGCCCAGCATTTGGCAGATTGTTCCCTCTGATAGTCCAGTCTCCCAAGTGTTCCTCACTTCCTCATGTTGTTTCTCCAGGGTCCTACTTTCTTCCCTCCTCCCTTCAAACACCTCTCTTTCTTTTCTTTTCTTTTTTCTTTTTTTTTCACCCAGGCTCTTTTTATTTCTTCTTTGTTCTCTTTCCTTCCCGAGAGAAGTACAGCTCATTAAGCCATGGTTCTCATACTTTTCATTTCTCATTGCCAGGGAGCATGATACTAAATACTTCTTTTATTTCAGCATTTCCCAAAGAATGTTCTGAAGAACATAGTCCCATGGGGAAGATGCATTCGGTGAACCATATCACACTCTGAGAAATCCCAAGGCAAAGTGGCATTTTAAAGGTCCTGAGAAGTCCTGCAGTAGAGAGATCTGCTTAAGGTTGTTTGACACAGAAGTTCCCAGTTGACCCCCGAACCGTTTTACCACATAACATTGATTAGCGCTTTTCAGAGCACACTCTGCAATATCCTCCTCTGGCCCCGTTTGTTTTCACTTCAGCTCCCCTTGTAGACGGACATCCTCCTTCACACCTCCCCTGGCAAACACCCAAGCAGACGTGGTGTCCTTCCTTCCTTAGGTCAGGACATGAGCTCGATCGCCTGTGCCATATTGATATCTAGAAAATCTGACCTGAAGCGGCCAGCTGGGATCAGCAGTTTTTCTGCAAAGGGCTGGAGAGGTGGCCACGTAAGCCTCACGGTCTGCATTGCGCCTACGCAGATCTGCTGTTGTCGTGTGAGACTGGCCTTAGACAACACATTAAAGAATAAACCTGCCTATCTTCCAAGAAGACTTTATTTACAAAAATCCCCCCCCAAAAAACAAAACAAAACAAAAAAAACAGTAATGGGCAGGATTTGGCACAGAAGCCAGAGGTTGGGGACACCTGCCCTAAGGCCATTTTGTGCAAGAATGCGTCGTTCCAACACAGGAGAAGGCAGAAGAGACCCTCCACGCACTGCACCCTGTCCCCTCTGGCTCCCCTGTCTTTGGGTCCATCTTGACTGAACCTTTCATGCCAGAGCAAACAGGTAAAAAGGCCAGAGATGTTTTGTCAGAGGCCAAATTCCTGAGTCCCGATGCTGTCCTTTCCCTTTTCTTCAGGTGAATCCCTGCTCTTGTCCTGTTCGTGGCTCTGTAGGTGGCATGGGTTGAGGCGAAGTGCTCTACTGGTTGCTTTATGCCACGCGTGAACCCCAGGGGTGAAGGTCCCGAGGGGTGAAGTTAAATCACGGAGCTTACATCAGATGCTTGACCCAGGATGATTGCAATCAGCAATGGAAAGCGTCGGCTCTGAAGATGGTTAGGAATGTGAGCTCAGAGCCAGACTGCCTGGGCTCTGCAGCTCGTTAATTGTATCACCCTCCCTGAACTTTAGTCTCCTCGTGGGTGAGTCAGGGATAATCACTTTACGGGTCGTTGTGAGGACCGAATTAATGAACATATGTAAAGGCTGTTGTGTGAGTGTCACCTATTATTACTATAGGCTATTTAATTAAATCTGCAGCGCAGCCCCAGTGTGCTCATGAGGTTTTGTAAATTGCCCAGGATTGCATCGCTAAGGAGTAGGGCAACAAAGCCTGTGATATTTCCACCCAGGTAGGTGCCCTGCCAGATTTAAACCACTCAACAGTAACTTGAAGGAGCCCCCCTCTTTTACCTTTCCTTCTGGTTTCCATGTTCTTTCCTTTCTTTTTCTTTCTTTTCTGGTGATGGCTTTAGATTCCTTCTCAACTTAGCAATACTGAAAGTCCTTACCAACTGATTAGAGCTGGCATGTAGAATAACACTTAGGGGCTCTGATTTTTGAAATATATTTCTGGAGTCCATCCCACTTTTGCCTTTTCTTCCAAGGCAGAGCTCGGTCACTTAGCTACTGCCAGGTCTTAAAACATTCTTTCCAGATTTGGCCATGGGCCCAAACTCTTTGGCATCTGGTAAAATAGCTCCCTGTGAAAGGTCTTCAGGGGCCCATTTTTATTATTTTTTTTAATTTTATTAAAAATTTTTTTCAATATTTATTTCTGAGAGAGACAGAGCATGAGCAGGGGAGGGGCAGAGAGAGAGGGAGACACAGAATCGGAAGCAGGTTCCAGGCTCTGAGCTGTCAGCACAGAGCCCGATGCGGGGCTCGAACCCAGGAACTGTGAGATCGTGACCTGGGCCGAAGTCGGATGCTTACCCGACTCAGCCACCCAGGCGCCCCCCCACAAAATGTTTATTTATTTTTGAGAGATAGAGCGTGAGCAGGGGAGGGGCAGAGAGAGATGGAGACACAGAATCCGAAGCAGGTTCCAGGCTCTGAGCTGTCAGCACTGAGCCCGATGCGGGGCTGGAACCCAGGAACTGGGAGATCACAACCTGAGCTGAAGTCGGACGCTTAACCGACTGAGCCACCCAGGCACCCCCAAAAAATGTTCATTTATTTTTGAAAGATAGAGCGTGAGCAGGGGAGGGGCGGAGAGGGAGACACAGAATCTGAAGCAGGCTCCAGGATCCAAGCTGTCAGCACAGAGCCCGACGTGGGGCTTGAACCCACAGACCGTGAGATCATGAGCTGAGCCGAAGTTGGACTGCGCCACCCAGGCGCCCTTCAGGTGCCCATTTTTAAACTTAACGGACATTGCTCGGGTCCAGACCAATTCCCTAAACGCTCCTTTTCTTCCTAGTCCCAGGCCCCAGGACCTTGGCCTTTTTCCTCCGCCCTTTGAATGTGCCGCCATCCCGTCCCCTGCCCAGGGATTCTTCTCTCCAACACTGGCTGTGTGGCTCCATCTTCCTTCCTGTCTTGAGGACAAGCCCACAGACTCCTTAATGCCAAAGGCTTGGCTATCTACTGCTGCAGAGAAACCACGACACAGAAAGTCACTCAGCCTAGGAAAACTTACAAAGGACCAGGGGACACAGTTCCTAGGGCTTGTTGTTTTGACGGTGGGTAAAAGGCTGGTAAGAAGACCAGAGCCCTCTGCTTTCATTCCTCGACTAGATCCACAGTCCCTTCCTTCTGGCTTTTTTCCTTAGTAAAGGCATGCTGCCCCCTTTCTTCCTGGTATTGAAGAACAGGGCAAGAGCCCCTTTCCCTTTCTTCCTCTCTCCTGTTTGTCACTCATTCATTCTACACACATTTGTTGAGGCACACAGAGGCGGGCAAGCCACAGTGCCTGTCCTCAGTCACCTCACAGTCTAGTGGAGGAGACAGGCACACTCATAATATGAGAACAGTTCTGAGT